AAAAAGCTCGTCTAGGTTCCTCAGACTGGTCGTCCTGCTTATTGTGCTCCTGGCACGTCTCTGTATCTTGTACAAGGAGACTGGGCTGTTGGCCTTTCTGTTGCTCCTCCATTTTCTTCTTCTCCTTCAAGACCCTATACCGCCGGCTGAGCGTCTCGTTTTCCTTTTTGAGGTTGTCGTAGTCCGCTTTGAGCGTGTCAAATTCTGGTCCGAGCCTGTTGTGCTCCTTTCCTTGGTGGTGGTATTACGTTCCATGTCTGTGATGACCGCATCTCGCACTACTACAGCGGCATCGTGTTTCAAGGCAGAACATTTGGTTCTTGCGTCTGCAATGAGGCGCTGGACTAGTTCAATGTCGACATTTGGGCCACTAATAAGACACTGGGCAAGTTCGAGTGCGAGAAGTACTACGTCCATGCCCGAGTCAAATGGTGACTTGGAGAGGGTGAGGTCATTTGAAGACATTGTGTGTCTGAATGATGTGTGGTACCCGCACGAATATTTGCTGTTGAGCTAGGTGAACGAAGGGAAGGTGCTACGGGTGTATATAGCGCGGCGACGTAGTTCGAAGGAGGGGACCATACTTGCCTGGTGGCTTGGAGAACAATCGAGAGATAAGTCGCCAATTCCGATCCAAACATTAGAACCATTGATGAGAAGATTTCAGTGCTCTTCTCATATTCATAACAATTTATTGCAGTCAAATTTGGGTTTTCTTTCCTCAGGAAGCATCTCTGTCGTTCCTTGTCTGGCTTTTTCCTAGTAAAGTTAATACGAGTGCCTGCTTAACTGCTTGAGACCCAGTGGGATCCAGTCCAGTACGACTGGAGCTGGTCATGCGTAAACCGGAAAGAAGGTGAAGAGGACAGCAACGGGTCGATAATAAAACCAACCACACGAACAGGTCTGTCGCTCACGACAGTAGATTGGGAAAGGGGCCATTGTGATGTGGTACAATGACAAAAGAGGAACCTTACATGAAAAATGAATGAAGCCAATGCGGATAGAACCGAACCAAAGCTCCTGGAACCTGCCCTCCAACACATTACGGCGTCGCTATGTTTATCCCGGGTGGCCCGTGACCTAGCATGTACCATCCCCTTCCTTCCCTTTGGGTCAGTTTTTTACAAATGTCAATTTTTTCCCAAAATTTGGCCACCTCACACTTACCTCCTACATTCCTTGTTGTCTCTGTCCAATCTCCACGGGCGCATCTGGTTAGGACCTGGAGCCACCTTCCCCTTTTATCATTTGCACACACTGATTGTGACAAGGGCAGTGTTCTGGGCTTGGAACAGTAGTTCAATTCCGCTGATAAACTACTTTGGTCTCGAAGGCCTTGTTGGTCCTTTCAACCTCTAGAGGAAGGCTGGGCTTTAAGGCCTTGTGCCAAAGGGAAACGGTACCTATCTGGTACGTACAGGTCCTTGTCACCTGAGGCTCCAAGGCATCTAGCGATCTGCATACATGTAGGTCTTTCTCGTATAACACCAGGAGTGTGGTATATGCCCGTTTGACACCAGGATTATGGCATATGCCCGTATGCCACCAAGAGTGTGGGATATGTCCGTGTGACACTGATCCCTCGACACAGTCAGGTAAGTGCATCCACAGCTTCAAAGTTGGTACCTGCTTGACCAAAACAAACGCGCTGACAAAAATCTAGCTACTGGCTGGACGCCATCAAATCGTCACCATGGACCTCTCAACGCTCGAAAAGACCGCCAACGACCTCAACTGCGACTTGAAGTACATACAAGAAGCCATGAAGACTCACAGAGAATGGATCGCCAGCAACCGTGCCACCGGCCGAGAATCCCCGCCGCATCGAAGGCATCGAGATCATGGTCGAGACCACCATGTCCACTGCATCGCGTCTCGAGGTGGAAATCGCCAAACAGAAGAAATCCCTCGTAGAGCACATGCAACAGATGAGCGATCTTGCCAGGGACAAAAGGGCTGTTGCTATGCACAAGCGTGCACTGGAGACAAGACGCAAAGATATCAACGCCAGGGAAAGCGCTCTTGAGGACAAGGAGAAAATGGCAAAGGACTCCACATCCGCACCAAAGACGAAGGGCGACAAAAAGACCATGCCGAATGCGAAGAACGAGTGGGAGAAGCACATGAAGGAAAAGGCAGACTTGAAGCAACTAAATGCGTCTTTGGATGCACAGGTCAAAGCGAGCGAGGAGGAGCTTGCCAAGCAGAACCGCGAACTGGAAGTAAAGATGACCGAACTTGCAAACGTCAAGACGGAGTTGGCCAAAGTAAGCCAGCAGCTTTTTCCTGAGACAGAGTTCTCCAACCTCTTGGTGGAGAAGAAGCAAGTCGAGACGGAGAATCAGCATCTCAAGCAGGAGAAGGAGCAGATCCAGAAAGAAAAAGGGCAACTCGAGCGCGAAAACCAGCAGTCCGCAACAGGGAAAGAAGGCTTGAGCAAAGAGCTCCAACAGCTACGCCTTGAGAACGAGGAGATCAGGGCTGCGTAGGAGGCACTCGAGGACAAGCAAAAGGCTCTAGAGGACCAGAGGAACGAGCTGGCTTCGAAATTGCTGGATACTGAGCTTGAGGGACGTATGAGAGGTCGGAAGAGGCCGGCTTTGCTTTCCGGTTAACTGCATACTGCATAGGGGGTGTATGGCCCTTGTAAGTCGACCTTTTAACATCCTAGGCTTTTATTGGGATATGTTTGTTCTGTCATAAAGGTGGACGAGGGAGGTGTGGAAGGACTTCAAGAACGCATATTCCAAGTAGAGCACGAGGTACTTCTAGGGCACCTGATACCATCAAGAACTCAGCGATGAAGATGTTTCTAGATAGATGTAGTGCTAGCTCTTGTTGAAGTCAAACTACTCCGTCCCTTCCCAGCGAAGTGCTACCCGAAGACAGAAAAAGTCAGATTGTGGACCAAGCATCTCCACTGCACGATGTATGACAAGAGTGATCGACGTCGGTTGTAGTGGCTCCAGGAAATCTTCTCTGGCCAAATAATTGCGACAGGATGCTCTTTCTTACACTAACTATAGATCTCATCGGCAGGTGCCAGGGAAATATTGAGAGCAAGAACAGCCCAACATCGGCTATGTCGATGCCCAAAGTTGCAGATGTAAACAGATGAGCGTCCAGTTTTTCCCATTTCATTTATCGCCGGCGCACCGTTTCCACTTGTTTGGACGATTACCACGTCTGTAATTGTTCGATATCTTCCATTGCCTTAAAACCATACATCAACAAGATAATCACTTGAGGGTCTACTTGTAGGTAGAGGTACATCTATCTACACAACCATGGATGCTCTTCCTCGTGCTACAGGTGCCCATAATCACTCCCCAATTGATAACGTCTTTTACCTACCGCTGGGTAGAGTACCTGAATGTACAAGCTGACATCGAACCTAATAGAAAAGCACAGCGCAAGTTTTGTTGGCAGCGAGCCGAACACCACCGCGCCGAATGAGACCGGGAGCAGTGTAAACCACCCAGTTGCTTCTGGCTCCGGCTCGGTTCCCAATCTCGGGCCTTCTAGGCCTGGTCAGCCCGAACCTTTTCCTCAACTCGGACACGTTCCCCAGTCCAAACTTGTTCATCGGCCTGAGATCCTAGAGGTACCGCTGGGTTACCCCCAGCCACGACAGCGAGCCTACGTTCAGTCTGCGCTCCTCGATCAATACGAACCTCCGCACATGTATCAACCTCCTGAACACGTTCGTGAGCCTGAGCCTGTTCCTCAGCCTACCTCTAGACATGCTCCAGCTTTGCCCGAACCGACTCCACCATTCTACTTCCCCTATCCGCCGCTCATCCCTGGCCTAATGCCGCGCATCGCAGCGACCATCGAGGACATGCGGGCGGGTATTCGACCTGTGCCCGTCCATGTCCTGAACCAGCGTCTCCGAGCGAGTAATAACGCCCTAGAGTACGAACGTGAGCTGGAATACCAGAATTTTGGATTGGCGTGTAAAATCCTTTGGGACGTATTTCACGACAATGCCATGGCAGTTCATGCACGAGACGTGGTGGGTTGGTTGTCTGAGACTCTTCCGTATATGGGGCCTGAACATCAGGAACGCCATGCGCGATGGGTGGCGTGGTATCGGAGGCAGACAATTGAGTTGAGGGGGAGGATTCGGGAAATGGGCAGGCGATTTGGACTGAGTGCGTATTTCATGTCAGAATACATGTGAATGTAAAGGTAGTTGTATCGGTGTGAGGAGAGGGAACGACAGGAGATTGGAATACCTTTGTTTCATTCATTCCACGTTGTGTTCCGTTTCAACTGGTTGCAGTTTTTGATTGTTATCGCTTTTGTCGTGTTCACCATATTGTCTGGAAACCCCCATTACAACCAAAGAGATAGAACGAGCCTATTCCCCAACCCAGCAAGCAAGCAAGCAAGCAAACAACATTAACGGGCTAGCATTCAGTTAATAACGTTGACAATAAGACAAAGACAGCCAAAACAACTTGAGATCCCCAAACACCCTCATCCCTCAAGCCACCAGCCGTGAACCTCACCATGCCCCTAATCTTCTCCGCGTGCATCCCACTTTACATTCCCGCACCCGGATACTCCTCCATAATTTGACCAGCCATCTGAGTATCCTTTATCATCTTCTGCCCCTCCGCTGACACCACCATGTCTTTCCCACCGCCACTGCTGCCACCAGAAGTGCTCGAAACCTTGGGAGTCGCTTGAGGAGGAGCTGGAGCCTTTCTTCTTCTTCTGTTTTTGCTCGTGGAGCAGAGAGGTGGTGGAAGAGAGGGAGGTGAGGTCGGAGTTGGCGTAAACTGTGTTGCCAGCAGACTTGGTTTGGGACTAGGAGGAAGACATTTTGGTGGTCTGGTGACTAGATGACGAGTTTTGACGTTGGTGATAACCTCTCCTTTTTCCGTTTTAGGAAGGCTGGAAGGGATGAAATGCTGGCGCTGCTGGGACTGTGGATGGGCGAAGAGCGTATAAAAGGCTTGCTGGTGTTACATTTGTGCTTTGTGCTTCGTGGTCTGTGAAGCTACTCGAGAGATTCGAGGAGCAGAAAAAGCACGATTTCTTCTGGGGAGTGCGAACTGGGAGCTGAAGATGAGCCAAATGAAGGCCAGTGGCAGAATTCGAGTCTTTGGTGATTCTTTCCCCAATAATCACGCGAATCGGGAATTGGGAGCGCTCGGGGGTTTGAGAGGGCTGGAGATACTGGTATCGTCGAGAGCGAGGAGGTGCAAGAACGTTGAGGACATGCATAAGCAAAATGTCATTGCTGTCACACGGACATTGCCCAC